TTCGGGCAGATCTCTGGAGGCGCAGCAGAGGCCCATCACCGAAAAAAAAAAGAAAAGAAAGAAAAGTTCAAAAAAGACGTTAAAAAAAGCTTGCACGGGTGCACGGCTGTGCCTGCCCGGCCGCGTGGCGCCGGAAGCCTAGGTTTTCTGTCTTTTTCTTTTTCTCTTTGTCAGAGCTGATAGGTTGAGAGCATACTCTCACTAGGACTGTTTTGGACAAATCTCTGGACGTAATTGCGGTCAGGTACGTCCAGGTCATGCTGGAATTCCGATCAGATACATGCAAGGAAGTCGTAGTGTGAGTATGCCCTGAGTGGGGGGGCAACAATGTGTGAGAGTGAATCATCCGGTAGAACACGTTTAGGTGAATGTGTAAAGAACTTCAGTTGCTCATTACTGTTTCCTCCAAATAGGACGTACGGTCATTGTAGCCGTATTTGGGGCAAATTTTAGTCCAGATACATGGATAATGACCAAACATTGTATGTGGGGGACGACGGGATGGTACCTGGTGCATCGATGGAGGCGGATGCTTTTCCGCCCTCAAATTTCCCCCCCCCCCCTTAAATTGTCAACTACCTCAAATTTCCCCCCCCCTTAAATTGTACATGGGGGTCTATTTCAGACTATTTGTTATTTCTTGAAGGGGTCTTTTGTCTGAACCTGGAGGTGCTGAACCTGGGGTGGCCATGAAGTGCTTTGGGACATCCGTTAAAATTGGAACGATATAGAACGTACGGTCATTGCAGCCCTATTTGACTCGCCATGCAGTCCAGATGCGGTGAAAGTTGAACATGAGAACGTACGTTCTATTTGTGGGAAGCAGGTAGCGGAGATTGCAATGAGCCCACAATTCAAACCACGTCTCGCGACACACAGAAACTGGACTTCATCATCATACACGAGGCAGCACGCCTCAGGCCAAAACGAACACGAGAGATGCGAACAACCCTTGTAAGTTCGTTCCGAAGGAGTCCCGTGTTGGTACCATCTCACTTGAATGGCACTGTTGGTACCATGGGACCAACATGCGACTGTAGCGCTCACGAGAGTCGATTAAGAAACACTATGGAGGTTTCAAGATGGTACTGTAGCGCCCCACTGCGTCCCCCTTTTCGTCATCGTTTGTAAGGATTGGTACCCATCTGGTTCTGGTCCCATCTGGTTCTATTGATGAGCGGTGAATCCGTTCTTCAGTCCCATTCGGGTTCTCGTGCTTCCCTCAGAGGTTTGGCAGTGCATTTCAGCTCATCTCTACCGTCTTCCGCTGAATAAAAGGTACGGTCATTATATACCCGTATTTGGGGTCTCACTTCCAGTCTACATACGCGGATCAGTGCCATACATTCTATTATGTAGAGAGACGGTAGAGAAGAACCAACTGGGACGAAAACAGTGTATAATGCGCCAGGCTCATCGCCCCCCTCCGTGTTCTTTCGTTCGTTGATCAGTGACCTGGACCCCATCAAGCAAGTCATGCCAGAGTTGGTATGGGTTAAAAAATTAAAAGTGTCATTAAACCCCGACAGCTCACATGAGCCGACAGTGACTAGGCTCTATACCTTCTAAAGGCCTGCGAGCGTTCCAACTGTGTGTCTTTTCAAAGTGGCCTGCCGCTTTCGCTACTGGGTTAGGCCCGAGTCAAAACACGTTGACGGCGGATACCGGTAAGAGTACTGCTTAGGTTCGTACGAATTTCTAGTTTCAACTTTCAAGTTATCGAGCACTCTTAGTGGTGATTGTCGCGCTGGCATTCAGCAGATATATAGGGTTCAGCCTCCTGATGAGTCGGTGAAACTCCGACGAAACAGTTTGTCACAGCGCCTATATATATATATATATATTTGACGATATATAATATATATATATATCGTCACAAACAGAACTGCCCGGTAAACCGTAGGCAGAGAGAGAGAAGAGGACAACAAACGAGGGGCTGTGACAAACTGTTTCGTCGGAGTTTCACCGACTCAGATATATATGTATATAGTAACTGATGATTACACTGTAAGTGATAATCCACCTTAACCACAACCGGTTGTGGTTAAGCATCAACGACTGCCGGACAACTGATGATACCCTGAGGTGGTGGGGACCACCAACCACTGCCCTCAAGGTACGTACCTGTGACGAAAATCAAAGCAGACTCACTCACCTACACCAGATGGAAAACTCTACAGAGTATCAGTTCACACCCTAGCATATATATGTGTATATATATATGTATATAAACTTCAAAGTTATCGAGCACTCTTCATGGTGATTGTCGGGCTGACATTAATTTGACCTCACCTCTCAGCAGATCTGCTCTGTGCATGGTCTTTTGACAGCATTATGGACAACTCTTTTTTTTTTTTTTTTTTTTTTTTTTTGTGTGTGTGTGTGTGTGTGCTCCTGGCAAGTTGTCATGCACACTTGATGGATTAGTGGATGAGAAAAAAAAAAAAAGGATTAGTCCATAAGGCAGTTCACTGCTGTAAAGCAATTCACAACTTCACACAATAATTATGCATGTTTTTTTTTTTTTTTTTTTTTGCCAAAAAATTATGCGTGGGTTTGAGGAACGCTGCGTGGTTTACACTGATTAATAATTAATTGCTCGGCATACTTGTTTTGTCTGATTTGTTTTGTTTTTTCGTTTTTTCGTTTTGTGGTGGTGGTGGTGGGGGGAGGGGGCGGAGGGGGAAGGGATGGGGATGTTGAGTTTGGGTGGTGGTGGGGTTTCGGGGTTGGTTGGGGGGTTGAATGCTCATGTGCTTCGTGCTTGCAGTGTGCGGAGTGCATTGTTGATTTCATTCAGGACTTCACTGTTTATGTAGAAGGCGTCGGACATGTCTGCAGGTCGGTGAATGGTTGGTTCTCAAGCGTTTATAAGACAGAGATCGCAGGTTATTTTTATTTTCTTATGTATTATTGTTAGTATATGTTCTATTATTCTCTTTGATTTTAATTTTATTAAATATATAATTTAAATGTTTTAAATTTTAATGATTGTTAATTAAATTATTTGTCCGTTGTCCCCTATCTGCTTTCTTGTATCTCGTTCAGAAACTTGCTTGCTAGTACTATT